AGAGATGGGTGGGATGTCAAGGTGGGGATGTGGGAGCTGGGTTCCCCTGGGAGGGAGAATCACTGTCTGTGCTTGATAGAAGTCTGTTTTCTCTGAACAGAAGGGGGGTAATAATGCTTAATCCAGCTCTGAAGCCCAGCAAGACCCCTAGGTACAGAAATCTGCCGTGTTAGGTGGTGGTTAAACATTGCGGGTTATTAACGGCAGGGCGCTGAACCTGGGCGAGCTCTGGGAATCAAACCTGCATTGGTTTGTAGGTCACTTTGGGACTTCCTGGGTGAAGCATTACTGCACGTACCAGCGGGAAACGAAGCGGATAACCATGGTGCCGTTTGACCAGAAATCTGGAGGAAAAGGGGTGAGTGCTGGGAGGCAGCAGCCTGGGGGTCTCTGCGGGGGGCGCGGCGGGGCTGCTGGCTGCGCGCTCTCCCAGTGCTCAAGCGGAACCATTGCTAGCAAGGTGACACGAGTGCAAGCGCAGTGGGTCAGACACGTTCCAGGCTGAGCGGGTGCCACGTGGGGAACTAACCCTGCAACTTGTTAAAAATAAAAAAAAAAAAAAGAGAGGAAAAGCCCCAAAGCCCACAGATCTCTGGAAACTGTCAGCAGTGCTGAGAGCAGAGCCGCGTTCCCCCGTGGGCAGAGCCCCTTGGGTGTTGCTCTGTTTCGTGCCTCAGCTCTGTGTTCCAGGCTGGTGTCTGCACACAGCTATGTGTCAGGACAGGTTTGCAGCAGCTCAGCCTGGGAATTTTGCCTCTTCCTTTTAGTTCTGTCCTTTTTCATTTGTGAAAGGAGAGACCTTTCAAAGCTGGAGCGTGCACTGTTGCATCTCTGGTTCCCGGCGATGCTGGGCAAGCGATGGGTGGTGCATCTGCCCCATGCCCTGCGAGGCCATGGCTGGTTCTGCAGCTGGAGGGGGCAGTTGGGGTGGGAGTGGAGCAGGGTCATGCCACGCACCCCCACCACGCTCTGGCTCCATGGGTGCCTGCTCCCATGTCCCCAGTTCCTGCTCCAAGACCTGGAGAAGAGAACCTGTTCATGAATTTGCTCCTTCCCCAATGCCTAGGACTTGGCCAGTGAAGTTGGTTTTTTTTTAGGCAGACCCCCAGGAGAGCCTGGAACCCCCCTGGCCCCGCAGGGGTGAGGAGGTGTGGGGGTAGCAGTGGATGTGGGGTCTGGGGGGTCACACCATGTACCCCACTGCTCCTGGGCAGCATAAGCCCGGCTGTAGCTGGTACTGGCTTTGCTCCTCTGCACAGCTGGAACAACAGACCCCCCCGGAGTGTTCCCGGCTGGAGTGGTTTGCAAACACGATCCCTGCCCGGGGAGCTGCCGCACAGCTCCCTGCTGGCAGCGCGGAGGGCAGCTTTTAAAATTAATTTCCTCGTGCCTGGGAGCATCTTCCTTATAACCCAGGATTAAAACATCCCAGCCC